TCAGCATGCGACCAGCAGCAGTGTTTCCAGTGGAAGCACAAGCGGACGCCAGTGCCCAAGGTCAACGGGCTTGCATTGGTGGGTTCGTGTCACATCCTGCATTAGGCCAAAGGTGGTTTAGGGAAGAATTCACATATGAGGAGTTCCGCGAGCTTCAGGTTCCCGTTCAGCAAGATATGCAGCTTGACATTGCGTGCTATGAAGCACTCGCTCAAGGGGCGCTGATTATCGCATCTTCAACCTTGATACCTTGCTCCAGAATCAAGCTTCGGACGGTCTCAGACAACAGTGGTGCGGAGGCAGGTGTGAATGCATCATTTACAACTTCACGCCCACTTGCATATTTCCTTGAACGCATCTCTCTGCTTGCTGCAGTGTATCGTACCACTTTGGATGTGTCCCACATACCGGGGGAGAAAAACACCAAAGCAGATGCACTGTCAAGACCGGGTGAACACGACATTCCCCCAGACTGCCTCGACTGTGATCGCATCAGGCTTCGCCTGAGTGATCTTTGGCTGCCTCGGCCGGCCATTTCCATTTCGCCCAGCGATGCTTCGCTGGCATGGACCGTGCGAGCCCCAGGAGTGCCGAACAACCTCACATAGTTTTGGGCTTTTCGAGAGCGAGGTTGCTGGGTAGTTGTTATTGGGCGAAACGTGCCACCCATCAACCTAGTTGTTTCGTTTGTTGTCTCACTCGACTTATGTGAGACAAATCGGCACTCCTGGAAAATACTACGTCTTTCAGGGCCTTTGAGTTTGGACTTAAAGCCTCCGGCATACCGCTAGCAAGCACAACTAAACCTATAGAACGATTTGTGTACTTGTTCACATCTGTTTTATAGTTTATGTGTGCGAACATTTTGGCTCACAGTATTAGTTGTGCTTGCTGGCGGTTTTTTCGAATTCCTCACCCTCCCGCCCTTGTGCGGATTCACGACTGGCGCATTCTAGGACCGCACAGCTGTTTCACAAGGCACTGGCCAAAGAACTCGACAAAGACCTCGTAACAAGAAAACTGGGCCTTCGGGGCAGGCACGTCTCACAGTCCCAGTAGTATCAGCAGCTGAACAGTGTTTTCTACTTGCATTTATCGCTTGTCTTGTTTATCTTACGCTTTTTGCTGCAATACACCGTGTCACCTCTTTCAAGAACCTCCGCAATGGTAATGCTTTAGCTTGGGCTTATATCCGTATCCTTTTGATTCGGGTCGTTTGTGTCCTCTGCCAAAGGAGGTTCCTCGTTGCGACCACTAGGTTCTCATGCATCGCAAGTGCAAGTGCTCGCGCTGGTCCCGCAGCAGTACTTCGAACTTATTCCGCCATTGCATTCGCAGATTGGTCATCCTGTACTTCGGGTTCTCTCGTCTTGCTACTGCTGTAACGACAGTTTGGATGGGGGGGCGAAACGTGCCACCCATCAACCTAGTTGTTTCGTTTGTTGTCTCACTCGACTTATGTGAGACAAATCGGCACTCCTGGAAAATACTACGTCTTTCAGGGCCTTTGAGTTTGGACTTAAAGCCTCCGGCATACCGCTAGCAAGCACAACTAAACCTATAGAACGAACAACTCTATTAAAATCCTTGACAAGCTACAAGTTCCGGGACCTGAAGATCTTCAAGAGGTGGCTTCCCGAGTCAAAGAAAGTAAAGAAGCTCCTTTTACGCTTTGTGCCGACATTAGCCAAGCCCACCGGAATGCCAAAATCAGGGAGTGCGACTGGGCACGGCTAGCGTGTAAATCTTCCAGCACATCACGCGTCTTGTGGCTTAATAAGGTAGGAACTTTCGGGGTCAGCTCAGCGGCCTACTACTGGACCAGATTGTTCGCCACTGTAGGGAGGTGGACTTTCCGTGTGCTGCACCACGACAAGTTCTACATGCTTATTTATGTCGATGACCTTCATGTGGTGGTGTACGGTGCCGAGAAATTTGAAACCTTATGGGTCCTGTTCTTGGCGATGGAAGTTTTGGGGACACCCTTCTCGTTCCACAAGTTTAAAGGGGGCGTCAGTGTGGACTACATTGGCTACCACATCAGCTACTACGAGTGGGCAGCCGGCATCTCTGAGAAACGAGCCAACTGGATTATCGAATGGATCAACCGTGTCGAGTCATCGAATTGGGTGGTCACCGGACGGGCGCTTACGGAGTTCACGGGACGCCTGTGCTTCGTGACACGGCTGTTAACTTGGTTGAAGCCATTTCTTGCACCGCTATATGCTTGGAACAACGTGCTGAACCGGAGCACGGCTGCCCAGGTCCCTGAGATGGTGATCCATGTCCTTCGGTTCTTCAGGTGGCAGTTCTTGAATGGGGCCCGTCTTGATGCCGTGCACATGTGCTGGCCGTCGTGCGAGCGCCAGGCCTTCAGGACCGATGCCAAATGTGAATCTGGACGGATCGTGCTAGGGGGATGGTCACTTGATCATGGCATGGACACGCGTCGGGCACCTTGGTTTGCGCTGGAAATCTTTCCAGCGGATTTTCCGGCACTCTTCAAGGAAGATGGATCTTCTGAATGGGCATCTACGGCTGCGGAGTTGCTGGCATCTTATGCCGGCTTGGTTGCTTTCAAACATCTTGAGACTTCAGGTGGCCGAGACTCGCTTCGCTTGCAGGTTCATGCTGGCACGGACAACTCTGCTACCCCAGCAGTGTTGGCTAAGGGCATCAGCAACAAGTGGCCAGTGCAGGGCCTGCATATGCAATTGTCACTGTCTTTGAGGAACGCCAACAAGTTGTGCCGGCTGTCTTGGCGCCCACGGGAGGAGAACCAGGATGCAGATGACCTGACGAATCTTCGTACTAGCAACTTTGATCAGGCCTTGCGGGTTCCCTTGTCATTGTCTGACCTCCCGCTGGACTTGTTCAACATGCTTCGGGAGGCCCATACCGATTTCTTGGCAGAGAAGGCGAGGCTCGCAGGTGTAAAGGCATTTGAACCGAAAGTGACGAAGAGACAGAAGTTACTTGACAAAACCGAATGGTGAGGCTGTCGGCTTCTCTCACGGCCGGTCTCAAGTTGGGGTGCTGTTGCCGGTTGTTCGATCAGCCGGTTGCCGTAAGTGCAATGCATTCTCCTTGAAGCCCGTAGGCTGTGCAGACCGAATCCGGAGAGTCCCGACACACGTCGCAAAATGAAGACCAGTCCGAGTGAGTGCGCATTCAGTTTGAACATGTTTGGAATGTTGCGAACTTGTTTTACCTTGTACCTTAACCTTGCCAGTGAACCCTGAAACCCCTTGCCACCCTAGAGCCGTAGCCTTCTTGGTTCAAACAGCGGGACAAACCGTTTGGGTTCCCCAAAAGGATTGTCTCGTGGTTTGAGCCGGGAGGGTGGGCCGGGGAAAAGTGAAAAACTTTGCGTCAGGCTTCGCGCCGCTTGGAAAGTACTTTGGTAATTTCGTAGATTGCAATGCCATGAATTCCTCTTGCTTGTCTGCACTAACTGCGTTTTGCTTGAGCTCAGGTCAACTGTACGAATGTCGTTGCCACTTTGGCACGAGGACAAATTTTGTGTCCCACCCACGCCGCCCTTGAATGCTGAAGGCATCACTTGTGTTTCAAGTGTCACTCTTGCATGCCAACGTCTGCTATGTGCTTGTATCGCACGGAAGGGGGTGCTGTTGCCGGTTGTTCGATCAGCCGGTTGCCGTAAGTTTGGAATGTTGCGAACTTGTTTTACCTTGTACCTTAACCTTGCCAGTGAACCCTGAAACCCCTTGCCACCCTAGAGCCGTAGCCTTCTTGGTTCAAACAGCGGGACAAGTATATCAAGTTCGTGCTGCCGAATGACACACCATCCCTCGATGGAATCACAACGTGCCCGCTGCACTGCCAGTATGAGCAGAACGACTTCACTAACAATGTGGACTGTGTGACACAAAATGTTTTGGAGGCTCATTTCGGGATTGGCCCTCCAACAGTCAGCGGAGGGGTTGCTGTGGATCCCCTTGTCGATGTCTGTTTGATTCTCATGGATTGGAAGATTGAAGACTTCTGGCAAGAAGTTTTGGTCTTCAACTGCTTCACCTCCAGAGTCGAGTTCCGATCTTGGGAGCTTGAAGACTTCGGGGCAGTTTTGCGAGCATTAGACACAAACAGGGCCACAGAGCTTAGCGAGTCTGGAAAGTGACTTTTGCTTTTCAGCGAGAGCAGTTGTAGACTTGTCTACCAACCCCTTTTTGCGTGCGAGGCGAGCCACTTGTGGCGAGCTTGCAAAAATCCAAAAAGTACCCTAATCCCTATCCCGTGTGCTTTACCTCACCCTAAGCACCGGTATTTGGTGTGACCATTTCTTGTGTCGTGCCATTCTGAATGCTTGGCCTATCCGTGACATTCATCTCAAGTGGTGGGGGGCGGGACCGCCAAACCGTCTCGACACAAGTTCTTGACGGGGGTGTGCGGTTAGAGAGCCGTGGAAAGCCTTGGGGCCAGTAGCGTGCATCTAGAAGGTTCAAGTGCTCCTAACGCGAGGTGCTGTTAGGTCGTGCACGCCGTGTGGTCCCGTTGACCACGGCAGATGGGCATACAGCAAATTCTTTTGCTGGAGGACTGAGCAAAGAGCAGTTGCAGCTTTGGTAACTTTGCTTAAGGATCCGGAATCACCTGGACCCCGGAGTTGTGATCAAAGGTCAAAGGCGCCTTGCCGTCCTTGAAGGTTGGATGGGGTGCCCGAGGTCCGGATGTTGTTTGCAGCTTGAATAAGAAAAGTTCGTGTGTGTGCCGATTCTAGGAGTGCCTTCATGTCAACTCACGCTTTACCGCGAGGGCTGCTCTGGGAATCAAAGTTCTTGTTTTCTTCAACTGTGAGAGGCCTGACGCTTTCGGTCTTGGGTGTTTGTGCAATTGCTTTAGCACTCAACGACCGTCATGCTTGGCTCGTTTGCGAACTCGGTAGATTTTCCTTGACGGCTTTGTGAGTGACTCTTTGTAATGTAAGTGGCTGCAAAGGCGCCCTCTCTCAGTGGATCAGGGTATCCCTGTGAGCCTACATGGGAGACGTGCCTGTGGATGCCGCTGCACTTGATGCGCACTTGTCCTTTTGCATCAGATCGAGTCACCAGTCATCTTTCAGACCTACGTGGGAGACAATTAGCGAGCCCACGAACTTAGTTTTTCGTCTCCCTGCTGCAAGGGGACCGTTGCCGCTGATAGCAGGACCTCGAGCTGAAGCGGCATCTTCCGGGTCCGTCAGTCAGGCCAAGAGACCGGGTGTGTCAGGAGACTCGCCATTGAAGATGGGCAAACATTGGCACGGGATTTCGTGGGAACACAAGCTGGAGCGTGAGCTGGTTGCGGGTATTAGGAAGTGGGGTGTGATTATTATGCACTCCCCTCTGAGCTTCGATATCGGCCGGCGTCTGCGAGGTGAGCACAGACTTGAACCCCTCATCTTGGAAAGCCTCGGCCACATTTTTGCTGGGAAGGCAGCTGGCACTCTGCATCAGAGGGCTGGTCCGATGCTTAGGTACATTCGTTGGAGTGTTCAGGCTGCCATGGATCCTTTTCCCCTTGAGGAGGGGCAGGTATACGAGTTTTGCAAGAGTTGCGAGTTTTCCTCTGCCCCAACTTTCTTGAGGAGCTTCATTGTATCCATATCTTTCTCTGTGCACGTCCTCGGTGTCACAGGTGGAGCCGATTGCTTGCTCAGCGGTCGGGTGATTGGCGTAGCGAGGCTCACCTACCTCGCAAAGCGCAAGAAGACTCGGAGGCCGCCACTCACGGTTGCTATGGTGGCTTTCTTGGAGAATCTCGTTTGTGATCCGACTGCCAGGGCAATTGATAGAATCTGCGCGGGTTTCTTTCTTTGCTTGGTGTTCATGCGAGCTCGGTTTTCAGACGGGATGAACCTTGGAAACCTGCAATTGGACACTCCAAGTGGTCTAGCCAATGAGGTGGCTGGATACTTGGAAGGAGAGGTTCTTCGATCAAAGACTTCCTTCACGACTGAAAGAAAGACGATGCTTTTGCCCATGGTCTGCCCACGCTTAGGTGTCACAGGACTCGATTGGGCGGGAGTGTGGATGAAGCTACGGGAGCTTCACAAGATGCCGACGGGCAGCGGTGTGCCGCTGCTCCCTGGTACAGGAGCTTCGGGAGAATGGCTACTCGTGCCACCGAGCGCCACTGTCGCTGCATCCTGGCTTAAGGGCATTCTGAGCAAAGGAGGTTTTGATCACGGGGCCCTCGCCAAGTTGGGTACCCATTCGTGCAAGTGCACTACCCTCAGCTGGTGCGGGAAATTTGGTCTCGATCAGTCTGTGCGTCGCACACTCGGTTACCACACAGACCGAGCTGCTGCGATGGTCATTCTTTACTCTCGTGATGAGATTTCTAGTGCTGTGCGAGCTCTGGAGAGAGTCCTTGGTGAAATCAGGGAGGATCGTTTTAGGCCTGATGCCACTCGGAGCGGACATTTTCCTTGCGAGGTGGCGACGCCCTCAGCAGAGCCCGAGGGTGATCCTCCCGACTATGAATCCAACGGTGGAGCGAGCGAGTCGGAAGATTCACAGGACGAAGAGGACAACGTTGGTGATCTCGGAGCCGAGGAAAGAGCTCTGGAGGAGATTGGAGCGCCGTGGAGACCACAGGGTGCTGCCAGTGATCGCCGTATGTTCCGGCACAAACTCTCGAGGATCATTCATTTTGTGGCCGACGAGGCCGGTGCCACTTTTGCATGTGGAACAAAGATCTCTTCGAATTACGTTGAGATGAACAGTGGAGTTTCCTTTTTGCATCCTTTGTGCAAGAAGTGCCACCCGGTCCGATGAGAGCTGGTTCGGGCTGGACCGGAGTGGGTTTGGGTTTGTCACATCCAACCCGGTAGAGGAGCTGGTGCGGGCTCGGGTTGGGTGGATGCTGGTGCCTCCACTCGCATGTCGGCTGATTCGGGCCCGAGCTGGAATTTTGGGCACAGCATCGCATGATACCTTCGATGGCCTTGAAGGATCGTGAGAGTCCTTCTTGGAGACTTGAGTCAGCGCTATGAGGATCGCTTGGATCCGGGGCGATCTGCCCTTGGCGAAAGGGCAAGACTTTGTGTTGACGTGCTTAGCAGTGACGTGGGTCATGATGGATCGCAAAGTCTTGTCTTGTTTGAGCGTCGAGTCTATGGCGTGCAGCAAATACAGGGTCCTGTGATGTGTGCTGCGCGAATGCCGAGTGAAGTGATTGCTTTTGCAGAGGTGCTGTAGAGCAACAGTGTGGAGAGGCGAAGCGTAAATACTGCGTGAACAAGTGTGCGTCTCAGAGCTGGCGGAGGGTGTAGTCGTAGCAATGTCGGTCACTGATTCCGCCGCAAATTTCCGTGCGAGGGCCATCGCGCTGGGGCTTGATGAGGCCGTTCTGCAGAAGATCGTCGACGGGGGTATTGACACATTGGCCAAGTTTGCTTTTTCGTCTTCATACACCCCGGGCGCTCAGGATGAGAAGCCTTTTCTTGATTCCATCGCAACTCTTCTGGGTAGGGATGGTAGCGTGGGAGAATTGTCAGTACTTCGACGCTTATTCCATGAATCCTACTCTCTCACCTCTGCTGAGTTGAAGCAGTCAGTGGAACGTGTCGAGGACGGGCCTGTCAAGAGATTGGCTCAGCCAGACAGGGCCGACCGGTTGGCCAAGCAACAGAAACGCTTGCCTGGGATAAGCATCCGAGGTCCTCTTGAGCCATCTGATCGACTCGTGGATCGTTGCGTGGCGATCTATGAGGAAAACCGGCTTGTCTACGTTGAGCTTTCAGCCTGCACCTCTAAGGAAGATGAAATTAAGCAAGCCACGCTCAAGGAGGACAGGCATCTTGTCGTAGAAAGCGGGGGAAATGTTCGACTCAAAGGCCTGGTGAACAACAAGATGGATGCAGACATTTCCTCTGATTTGCTCATGCGGTATGCTCTTACTAGGCGTGGCCTAGCGATGGAGCAAGCGGGAATCATCTCATATACACTGCATGACGCTTGGACCGAGCAACTGCTCGCGTGCCGTTTCCGAGAACCCCCGACAGGGTACAGCCGCGTTTCCTTGCAACAGGTCATTCATGCTGACAGGCAATTCTTCATCAAACTTGCCGAGCTCACCCGGGAAGGAATACAGCTTCAGGCGAAGGGTAGGCCATGTGATTTGCACTTCGAGACAGCTCGCAATCACCCGGATGTGGCGCACCTAATGCAACCCCTTCTTGCAGCGGTGCCTAGACCAGACCCCACATGGACGCCCCGAAAAGGCGACGGCAAGAACAGCAAGGGAGGTAAAGGTCAGAAGGGCGGTAAAGGGAAGCGGGACACCACTGCCATCACTGCTGCGATGCCTAAGGAGATTGCTGATGGGGGGTTATCTTTCACGCCTAAAGGGTACGCAATCTGTTGGGATTATAATCTCAATAGATGCAAGCGCAGAGTGACATCAGGAAGGTGCGACAAAGGGTTGCACATATGCTGCCGTGCTGGCTGCCTGAAGTCTGGGCACTATTACGGCAACTGTCCGAAAGCAGGTGGTTCTTGACTAGGTGTCTCAGGTCCGGTCGGTTCCACCTCCCATCAGGTCGGAGCCGATACAGGTATGAGCGTTGATGCAGCCGGCGGTGCTTCCGCCGAAATCCTTTCACAACAGTTGCTTGAGGCTGACAGGTTGCCCACTCCAGAGGAGATTGAAGAGCTCGTTAGCCTCTTGCCGCATGGCGAGTTGACCGGCGAACGCCGGAGCAACGCGGACGCTTCTTGCAGTGCATTCCATAGCGGTGCTTTTGTACACATCAAAGTGGGATTGCGTCGAAATTGCAAAATCTTCCCAAGCACGACAAAGCTACTATCGAGAATTCTGCGGCATGCCCATCCTGGGCATGAATTTACTTCCTTGCTGCTTTCTGTTGACAACCAGACTGCATTGCATGCAGATAGCCAGAATGCCTTCATCCCAAACTTAGTCGTTCCACTAAACAGGTTTTCTGGTGGTGGGATTTGGGTGGAATCCGATGTTGGCAAAGAGCGTTTGACAGTCGATGGCCAAGAGCTGCTGGGAACCACCTTGGATTTAGGGTTAGGCCCCGTAAGATTTCAGGCCAGGGTTCAGAAGCACCTCACCCTGAGTTGGGAAGGTCGGCGAATGGTCCTTATCGGATACTCTGTACAAGGCGGTGAGATGCTTCAAGACTCGGATAAGGTTGAACTGGAAGCCTTGGGGTTCGCACTTCCATCGCAGTACCCCGCCACCGGCAACCAGGTGGCTGAGCAAGCGTGTTTTGCGGACTTCAGGAATGGGACCAGCAGCCCGCCACTTCTTGAGCATAGGCCGGCATTTAATCCACAGCACATCGGCGATCCGTCGAGGAGTCCAGTGCAAGGGATCGTCATCGAATTGTTTGCTCGTAGTGGCGCCTTGTCTAGGGTTTTCAAACAACATGGGTTTGAGGTTTTCCCAGTGGATCGTGGGGGGCACAGGCTCCCTTTGTCTAAGTTGTGTGCCCTTGATTTGGCGCAAGCGTCGAGTTGGACCTACCTCGAGGAAGTTCTTGAAACCTACCCAGTTCTTTATGTCCACGCTGAGCCGCCTTATGCCACGTTTGGGCCACAGCAGGCGTTTAGGCACTTAGTCAACGGGGTCACGAGCCCCGTGGGAACCGTCGACTCCAAAGTTGTTGATCGACTCGCTTTAGCTGACTCCATGGTCAACCACTTGTGCACTTTCTTGCAAAGCGTGGACAAACGAGGTATTCCTTGGACCTTGGAACACCCAAAGGCCAGCCTTCTTTGGAATCTGCCGAATGTGCGGGCTTTGCCTTCAACTTCTGAGGTTGTTTACGATCTTTGTAATTTCGGGTCTGCCCTTAAGCTTCGCCGCCAACTTAGGACCAATTGCAAGGCTTTAAGGTCCCTAAACTGCTTGTGCAAAGGCGACCATTCGCATGGCCAAGTCGAAAGTGGAGTCGTCACACACCCTCCCGAATTCTGCAAACATGTCGTCCAGGCAATTGCGCGGCACCATGGACTTGCTTGCCCCGACGTGGCATTGTCATCCACGCCAACTGGTGTTGCCCAGCAAAAACGAGGCAAGCCTGAAGCTTCGCTCCTGCCTGAGTTCGGCAAGGTCTTGCAGGTAGATGTCGATCAGGTTCCGCCAGTGAACCACAAGCAGTGCCTCACTCGCCCGTTGGGCGAGGTGCCAGCAGGATCCAAGCTCATCGCCACGTCTCTTCTCAGGGGTGATGCGGGTGGCGATGCGGGTAACGAGGGTAAGAGATTTCGCCTTTCTTTAGGAGTCTTTGCCACGCCAGATGAGTTCGTTGATGCGGCCAAGGACTTGCTACATCCTTTTGCTGCTTCGGCTGTTCTGTCGCCTATCGTGAAAAGGCGTTTGTTTGAGGCCTTGACCAAAGGTCCTGAATGGGTTCAGCGACAACGGTGCTCCAAATTGAAATTGTGGCTTAGCTGGGCCAAAGAACTGCAAGTTGCCGAAGGAGAAATGAAAGGTAAGCTAGATCCTGACATTGGCCGTGTGCTTCGAGGCAAGCGCTTGTTGCTTCTGAAGCGTATTGCTGATGATATGGACTGGCCCGACAAGGATTGGTTGGGTGAGCTCTTGGAAGGGTTTGACTTAGTCGGTAGTCAGAAGCACACCGGGGTCTTCAAGCGAGAGTTGCGACCACAAGCAAGAACTAAGGCGGACTTTCTTGATGCTAGCAAGTTCTTGCGACCGGCACTTCTGGGCAAGGTCGCCTCTGAGGGTCTGAACGAGCATTCTCAGGAACTCTGGGACAAGACCTTGGAAGAGGTGACGGACGACCTTCTTGAAGGACCTCTGACGCAGGAGGAGGTTCATGCCAGACATGGTGACCATTGGGTCCCGGTTAGGAGGTTCCCGGTGGTACAATCTTCAGCGGGCAAGAGGAAGCTTCGACCGATTGATGATTTTTCGGAGAATCTAGTCAACGGTTCTTTTTCTTATGCCGATAAGATTGACTTACGTGCCCTTGACGAAATCATTGCCATCTGCCGATGCTGGACCCAGGCATGCACTTCAGAACATCAGTTCTTTTTCGCGATGCCTGAAGGGCCACCGTTGGTGGGCCGTGTCCACCCTTTGTGGGTCAGCGGGGCTTGGGAGCCTTTGCTTACAACGTTCGATTTGAAGAATGCTTATCGTCAATTCCCATTGTCACCAGGCAGCCGTGCTCATGCGATCATTGCACTGTTGGACCCGAGCAGTCTTGGCGTGGGTTTGTTCGAGTCCAAAGCGCTACCTTTCGGTAGCACGGCGTCGGTGGTGCACTTCAATCGAATGTCACGTTTGTTTTGGAGGATTGGCCTTGAACTTCACCTGTGGTGGAGCAATTTTTATGATGACTACCCAGTCATGACGCCAACACTGCTTAAGGATTCCACCATGGCGACTATGATGCTCCTGTCCCAGCTGTTAGGGTTTAGTGCCTCCCTTGAGAAGTTGGCCCCATTTTCTTCGGTTGGTACGATGTTGGGCGTTGAAGTAGACTGCAGTTCAGCGCCCGATGCGCTCATCCGTGTTCGCAACAAAGAGGGTCGTGCCAGCGAGGTGTGTGAGGTCATACAGGGATGCATTAAGGCTGGTGTGGTAAGGCAAAGAGATTTCGCCCGTGTCGCTGGCAGGATTCAGTTCTCAGACTCGCAAATCATGGGACGTACCGGCAAACTAGCTTTGGCAGAGTTGCGAGCCTCATCGGCCAGGCATGCTGACAAGTTCCGTCTTGGAGAGCAGGAGGTTAGGGCCTTTGATTTCTTGGTCAGTCGACTGTCCTTTGGTGCTCCTAGGGTTGTACCCTGTTCGGTTCCTCCGAAACCGATTCTTGTCTTTACCGATGGCGCCAGCGAAGGATCTGTCCACACAGTGGGGGGAATCATGTTTGACCCGCGTGAACAACAACCGAAGTACTTTGCTTGCCATGTGTGCGACAGTGTCGTCTCGACCTGGTCCCGGGACCTTCAGCACATCATAGGTCCAGTCGAGGCCTACGCTGTGCTCACGGCGAGAAAGGTCTTTCATCAGTCTCTGTCGGGACGATATTGCGTGTACTTCATTGATAACGACGGGGTACTGCTTAGCTACATCAAGGGTACGTCTTCTAGCAAACCTATGCGAGATATTTTGCTGATGTGGGAGTCCTTGGAGATGCATGCTCACACGTGGGCGTGGTGGGCTCGTGTGCCATCCGCATCCAACCCAGCCGATGCGCCGTCAAGAGGCGAGCTGGATGAGCTTGTCAAAGCTGGGGCATTGCGTGTGGATTGTGATTGCCCGCTTACCGGTACAAGACTTGTCGACTTGTAATCAAAAGGGGCTCCCGTACTGCATTGCTTGGGGGGATCGGGCAGCCCGGTTCGCCCCGAGCAAAAAGTCCACCGTGCGAGTGATTGAGCTTGATTGGAATCATTTCATACCTATATTTATGGAGTCTCGCCGTTGCATAATTTGATGCCGACTTTTTCTCTTGAATAACATTCTCGAGTACACGATTGGAGGTTTTTGGATTTTTCCGAGCTTAGCAAAAAGAGCAGTTGTAGACTTGTCTACCAACCCCTTTTTGCGTGCGAGGCGAGCCACTTGTGGCGAGCTTGCAAAAATCCAAAAAGTACCCTAATCCCTATCCCGTGTGCTTTACCTCACCCTAAGCACCGGTATTTGGTGTGACCATTTCTTGTGTCGTGCCATTCTGAATGCTTGGCCTATCCGTGACATTCATCTCAAGTGGTGGGGGGGCGGGACCGCCAAACCGTCTCGACACCCACCCACCACACCCTGTCGAGACATCGTTGCTTCGGCTTGCAGCGCCGACTTAAGCTCCCAAGGAGAAGTTCAGTTTTCTGCCAACTTCCGGAAACTTACGCCTCGATTGAGGCGGCGATCTCGGTCGCTGACTCTCGTGACTTAGCTGCTTCCGAAGTTGTGCCATTCTCACAAATGTGAGAACGCGCCTAGCCCGAGCCTGGATCGGGCAGCCCGGTTCGCCCTGATTGGAATCATTTCATACCTATATTTATGGAGTCTCGCCGTTGCATAATTTGATGCCGACTTTTTCTCTTGAATAACATTCTCGAGTACACGATTGGAGGTTTTTGGATTTTTCCGAGCTTAGCAAAAAAAAAGGCTTCTCAGGATCCAACATCACGGCAAATGATCAAACTCTCATGTTTCCGCAGGTGCACAGGGAAGACCTCTGGGGAGCAAATGCTGCATTCATCTGCGGCAACTCTCCTCAGCAGGTTCCAGTTGCAGACCTCGGAAATTTTGATGTCTTGCTGAAGGTTCCAGGTGCAGACCTCGGAAATCTTTATCTTTTGCTGAGTGTGTAGATCTAGCACTTCTGTATTCTGCGAACAGCGAGATTAACCACAGCGGGATGCGAAAAAGAAGCAGAGTCTTTCAGAACAAGGGCGCTCGAAGAGACGTCTACTAGATTAGGCCCAAACCAGGAGTCCAATTTTAGAAGTTGGATCAGAGTGCGTGCTCCAGCTGTGATTTCAGCCATATTCAAGTCTCTGGACAGATCAACCCCATCAGCTTCAAAATCATGGTTTTTGTCAAGTGCCCACTAAGACAAGATCTGCCAACGACAGGACACCAGACATTTTAGGCCAAAACAAAAATTAAGTTATCTTTGAACCGCAAAACACAGGGTCAAACCTGGTGTTGGATGCGACAGTGTAAGCTGTATTCCGAAATAGCTTCCAGAACCGAACCCTCGACCAACCCTTGCCCGTTTTGCATTAGGGGTTTGGGGGGGCCCTTGCCTCCGGCGCCCCGCAGCTGAGCAGCAGTTCTTTCCGGAGTTTGCCAACTCACAGCCTTCCGAGTTTCAGGTGCCACAGAAAGTGTTCGTTTGTAACCTAGTGCACGTAGTCTTATGATGTTTTTACAGGCTCTCGTTGGGGATTTTGAAAATGATTTATTTTCCAGAATAATTCTGCAAACATTCCGATCCGAAGTGAGAAAACTTTGCCGTCCCAGCGGGAGGAAAATTAGGACATATTTGGGACATTGGTTTTTGCGAAATGTGGAAAAAAGGCGAAAAAAGGGTCCATGAACGAGAAAAACAAGGACAACAAAAGCCAACCACCTCCGAAAAGGGAAATTAATGGGAAAAAAAAACAAAACCAAGGCACATAAAAACACGAAAAAAAAGGGGAAAAAAGGAACACAAACGACAACCGCATACATGTCGCCAATAATGAGGGAACCGCGAATAGAATCTTTGAGTAGAAGCGATATACAAAAGGGAAAAAGACAGGTATTCGGGGCTTGTGAGGTAAACAGAAAACTATCAGTAATTCTTAAATGATCACATGCTCGTCGCATTTGGCAGCCAATGTGGCACATCCTGGCAACAAAAGGAGAAAACTAGTCGAACAGTACGCCAAAGCAGATGTAAGATCAGCAACAAACAGTTTACATAGGTGATTTCCATAATGGTCAGTACCAAATGAAAAAACATGTATACCAAGTGGAGAGTTTCAGGAAAACATATGGTTCAAAGAGAACCACGGGACTACAATCGTGCAAGCTTGTTCAAGCCTCCCTTCCCTTGCCCTCCCCTCCCCCATTGCCGCTGTGCTACTGCTATTGCTATACCACTGTCAGGTTCGCTGGATGGGCGGGCCCGCTATCGTTAGGATCGCTACCGTTACGATCAGCAGAGGATAGTGCAGAGTGAACAGTGAAATCAGGCGTGTGTGATGAAGCCATCTCAATTTTGTTCCCAAGTATCATATCGATCGAGAGTACACTGAGGCAAATGTACTGGTCGATTCCAGCGCGTAGGCTCCCAGTCTAGGCCGATTCACCCTCAGAGTCCGCAATATTCTTAAGAGGCCAACCTGAAGACTTGTGCTTGGGCGTATAAGGGCCAGGGCCAGGGCCAGGGCCAGGGCTTCGGGTAGCAGTTAGGGTATTTCGACAGTTGGGTTGTTAGTGTGTTGGTCTGCCGTGGTGGCTGGCTCAAGCAATTGGGCAGATTGGGTGAATGATGGTGCCGCTGTCGTGGCGCTGAGCTGTGTTTTTTCCCTGAAAGTTTTTTTTCTGGAAATGGAGATGCTTGGCTGCAAGGCTCTCACTGAAGCCAGCCTGCGGAGCTTGCAGCAGGAGTGGCAGGATGTGTCGGAGGCTGAAGCCGTTCGAGATCCATCAGAGTCTGAGAATGAATCGTGTGGGAGCGTTCCCCTTTCAGCTCAAACTTCCGACGAGCCTTGGATTCAATACCGGATGCTGGCAGCTGGTGGCAGGGTTTGCAGGGTATGCTTCCATGAGTGATTCTCTTGTTGTTGACCTGTTCTTGAGTATTTTGCAAGTGGGCTGCTGCGTGTCAAATCGCAAGCGGATGAAGACAAACTTGTGACCTGGGGCCATCTTTCAGCTTCGAGTAAAGTCTGCGAGCATCAGAAGCTCAAGCAATTACAATAATTCCGGCTGCTAGGGAGCCTGCCGCTTGCTGGGTTCCATTGCACTTTGCAAACCATTGGGTCTTCCAATCAGTCCAATCAACAGTGTAGCAGCGTAGCAACAGGGTCCAGCATCATAGACAGCCATCATGTGTGTGTGTGTGTGTATGCCCTTCAAAAAAACATGGGGAAGTTGCGATGGAGAGCCGATGATGCTAGCCAAGTCCAGGCGCTTGCACACTGTAAGTAAGAATGGAGTGGCAATTTAGAGATGGGTCTGTGTTGGTCAGGAAGCAGAAGCGGAGCATCATGATGCCGATCTTGTTGACTTCGACAAGGCCCGTGTCAACCATCGTGGGATGTGTGTGTGCTATTGTGTGCTGTGCTCTGCATTGGCAGGCCCCTGGGATGCACGATTCCGCAGTTGCGGCAAGGGTGGCAATGGGCTCAGACTCAGGCATCGCAATGATAGCAGATAGCACCTGTCACCTTTGTGTCACTGACGCTGCTTCGAAGGCCGGGAAGCCAATCGACGGTGATCCGATGGTGTGCATCGTCTTCCGGTGTGGGGCCTGGGGGACGATGCATTTTTCTGGACTGCTCCTGTCTCCTGTGCTGGGAATCGGGGTACCCCTTGTTCTGGTCAGGATCTCCAGATTTGTCTTATGGCTTATGGAAAGGCTGGCGAATTGGGCTTGTTTGTGTCCTGCATGAGCTTCCTGCTGGTTCTCAAATTCACTGCTCAGGCTGGAGCGGCTACCGGCTACCCGTGCTGTGTCAAGCTTTTGTCGGTCCATGGTTTTTGGAGTGTGGTTGAGGCCAGGGAGCACAGTCATTTCATGTCATATACAGTAGAGATAAGCTATCTCCGGTACTGCTCCTGTGTTGTGCGCTTTGGTATCTAGAGTCAGGATCCTGCTGTTCGTCTTGTCATGGACATCGATGAGGCCGATCAGGACTGCTTCGGAATTTCCTGCAGCTGCAATTTGTTCTGTGCTCTACATTATCAGGATCGTGCTTTTCCTCTACCCTACCCATGGACTCCAGGGAGGTCGTGATCAGGACTGCTTCGGACCACCCTGGGATGTGTGCTGTGCTCTGTTGTTATCAGGCTCGGGCCGTTCCTCTTGCCATGGACGTCAATCAGGACGGCTTGGGACCACCCTGGATGCGCGCTATGCTCTGCATTGTCAGGATCGGGCTGATCGTCTTCGCATGGAGGTCGATAAGGCCGATAAGGACTGCTTCGGACCACCCTGGGATGTGTGCTATGCTTTGCATTGTCAGGATCGGGCCGTTCCTCTTGCCATGGATGTCAATCAGGACGGCTTGGGCCGCTTGGGACCACCCTGGATTTTGTGCTATTGCATTGTCAGGAACGGGTTGTTCTTCTTTCCATGGAAGTCGATAAGGCCGATAAGGATTGCTTCGGACCACCCTGGGATGTGAGCTGTGCTCTGCATTATCAGGATCGGGCCGTTCCTCTTGCCCTGCATGTCAATCAGGACGACTTGGGACCACACTGGATTTTGTGCTATGCTCTGCATTGTCAGGATCGGGCTGTTCTTCTTTCGATGGAAGTCGATAAAGCCGATAAGGACTGCTTCGGACCACCCTGGGATGTGTGCTGTGCTCTGCATTATCAGGATCGGGCCGTTCCTCTTGCCCTGGATGTCAATCAGGACGGCTTGGGACCACACTGGATTTTGTGCTATGCTCTGCATTGTCAGGATCGGGCTGTTCGTCTTCGCATGGAGGTCGATAAGGACTGCTTCGGACCACCCTGGGATTTGTGCTATGCTTTGCATTGTCAGGATCGGGCTGTTCTTCTTCCCATTAAGGTCGATCAGGACTGCTTCGGACCACCCTGGTATTTGTGCTGTGCTCTGCGTTGTCAGGATCGCTCTGCTCCTCTTCTCATGGAGGTCTGTGAGGCCGATAATTATCCGACGAGCCGATAAGCATTGCTTCAACATAGTGTGGCACAAGCACTGGTATACTGTGTTCTGCCTCATCAGGATCATGCATTATTTCGTGGTTATGATGGCAGCAGACTCAGACTCGTGCACAGTGCCCATTAAGGCAGCACAGCTTGGTCTGTGCTGCACACAGTTCCGGAGTTCTACTGAAGCTAGTGCTTTTTCTTTTGTGTCCTTCAAGGATCGATTTTCTTGGAATGCCTGTGGTCTTCGGCACTGGGCTTCAGGCTTCAAGGCTGGGGTGCGATCCACTCGTTGGTGAAAGTCATGTGTCGGTTGATTGTGAGCTGTCAGCATTAGTTGCTATGGCTAGGACTATGACGATGACTAGGATGGCACCTCTCGCCTTTGATGATCAGGCCTGATCCGTCGGTTGTTCCGCTGTCGTTCTTATGGCATGTTGCATGCTGTGCTCAGGATCCTGTGAGGCTGGATCAGCCGGACCAAACCGGACTGCAGACTATTGCAGAATGTGGAAAACATGTTCAAGGGCTCAAAACCGCTCAGGTTCCCAGCTTGTTTCAAATGCTTCAACTGGATTCGGCATGGTGCCCAGGAATGGTATGTCTTTCAGATCAAGCTGCTTCTGCGACAGAACAAGCCTGGTGGACAACATCGCCACAAACCCATTTCGGTGATGTCAAGCTGCTCTGGATCTTGTGCAGAGTCTTCAGTGCTGCAGGCGGATCAGACATGGGTACCCGGGTAGACTCGGCTAGACATGCTGCGCTGTTTTACAATGTTCCAGTCTGTCTTGTTTGGAGTTCTGATCAGTGTCCAGACTCCTCAGTGCAAGGTTGGGTCTCGAAGGGACGAACCCTTTATTTTCCGTTCGAAAATGGTTTTGAAACTTTTGTTTTAAAACCAAGCATGCTTGTTTTCAGTCACGTCAATGTGTTGCCTTTGCAGACACTTGTTGTGCTGAAACATTTCCCTATTCAAGGGAGGGAGGGCGGGAAACCCTCGTGTACATTCACCAATGTGTGTTTTGTGCATGGGGGTGTAGTGTAGTGTAGAGGAGGTGCTCCGAGCACTCGGTAGGGGAGGGGCCATGGCAGAAAGTCCAGAGCCTCAAGGTGCCAGGAGAAAGCCTTCCTCTGATCTTGAGGTCGATTGGGGCGACGGCCAGTCAAGTGTGTCCGATCTGCCTGAATCAGGGGTGCCTCAGGAAATCGCCCGAGCAGGGCCTTCATCGAGCGATCAGCATGCATTTTCCTTAGACGATTGGTTAGCTGATGTTTCTCTTGATGGCCACGTCTCTGCAAGCAGCGTTGCAGAGCCAGCAAGTGTTGCCAAGGATAGTTGTGTGCCGAGTGTTGCTTCGACAGCCGTCTTGTCTTCTAGGGAGTATGCCGCTCGTCTACGGAGCTCCCACCTGAGCCTGCAAGATGCCACGCCGAAGTTCTTTTGGGAGCAGGGGTTTTGGTCTGATTTCTTCAGTCCTGCCGCAGTGCCAGAAACCATCATGCCGAAATTCAAGGACAGGCGGCCAGATCCTTATCACTTGCCTTTGTCGGAGCCTGTAGAGCTTGGACAGTCGCAATCTTCGAAGAAGGCACGTCGAGAGTTCGCAGCAGTCTTCCAGAAAGTCGTGATTCAGAGACAGGTGATTTCTTGGAGGGACGCTCGTGAGGCCTCCTTTGAGACGGCCATTGTGAAATGGGTTGCTCTGTTTGGGTCTTGGGATTCTAATAAGGATGAGTCTCTGGATGGCTTTGCACAACTGTCGGAGCTTGAAAGGAGGAAAGTCATTGATGACAGCATCGCACGCAAAGCCCCTTCGACTGCCTTGAAAAGAGCAAACTCGTTGATCAAACTCACGAAGCTTGCCGGAGCCGCAAACATTGTCATGCCCGCTTCCGAAGGCGAGATCTATATCATTTTGACCGATGCCAAGTCGGGAGGGGCCCCATTATCCCAGCTGCGGGGGTTCATGGAAGCCATTACCTTCTCTCGACATGTCTTCGAAATCAGTAGCCTCCATCTAGTTAGTGTCAGCAAAAGATGTTGGGGAGTCACAGTTGCCAGGGTCGCGACTCCTGCGAGACAGGCTGACCCCCTGCGGGTCAAGGACCTCAAGGAGCTTCATAGGGTGTTGGATGAGGCGCCAGACCCCTGGGACCGTTGCTTCGCAGGCAGCGCGCTATTTTGCGCGTACGGCCGTTGCCGATGGTCTGACTCGCAGCACTTGGATGATATCGAACTAGAATATGAAGAGGGTCCTGATTCTCCCCTTGCATACGTTGGAGGTGTCATCGACATTCACAAAACAATGAACCTGCAGGGTCAGCAGCCCCGTGTTCTTGAAATCATTGCACCAGCGCAAGGAATCTATGAAGGTGACTGGGCTTTGAAGTGGCTCGCTGCACGTGCGGAGGTAGGCTGTGCCTGGTCGCAGGGCCACCCGACCATGCCTGCACCCAATCATCTGGGTGAGCCTACTGTCAGGGCTCTGGGCAGTGACGAGTGTGGTGCTTGGCTCAGGGCTCTCTTGCCAACGAGGCTGGACATGAGAACAACTTCGCACTCTCTGAAGGCAACGTTCTTGAGTTATTGTGCAAAGAGAGGCATGAGCCATCTTGACAGACTTGCGCTGGGAGGGCACTCCCATGGAGCGAAGAGTGCCGATACCTATGCGAGGGATGCCCTTGCTCGCCCATTAAGGTTGCTCCAAGGTGTCATCAGAGAGATCAGTATGGGCGTCTTCATCCCGGATGCTAACCGGGCTGGCAGGCTGATTGTCAGTGCTGAGACTTCAGAGCTTGCTCAGGAGTTGGGCCATGAAGTCCCGAGAGTCTCGCCACTGCCTTTGAAGACCGCAGGGCCTCTCCCGGCCCGGCCCAAAGAAGAGGTCGTGTCCTTGAGTTCGTGTGAGCCCTCTCCTTCACAGCATGCCGAGCCCGCTTCAGAGTCCCATGAGTGCGAGGGAGATTCGTCGGAGGCCGATGATGGAGATTCGAGCCGCAAATCAAGCTCAAAATCGTCTGTCGAGGGCACCACAAGCTCAGATTCAGATGCAAGCTCAAGCTCTGAAGAGGAGGGACCTGGACCCAGCATGCCTCAGTTCGTCCCCCGCCTGCCAGAGCCTCCTGAGGGCTTTCGGTTTGTGCAACACGCAAAGTTGAAGACCTTGCATTATGTCATGCAGGGTCACTTGAACTTCACCGTTTGCGGGCGTCGCATTACAGATTCTCTTACAGGATCCTTATCACTCAAGTGGGACAGCCCGGTCTGTCGCAATTGCAAGAAGTCTGTAGGACCACTCAGGTAGGGTACGCCATGAACTTTGAGTGCGATGAAAAGAGTGAAGTCACACTTCGAGTGCATGCCAGTCTTATTGAGTCATGCGAGTGTGTCATGTCTTTGTGCGACCTCCTAGTTGAGTGGGCTGCGAACATGTTTCGTGTGTTTTCTCGAACGCTCAGGTTCCAATTTCATGCGAATTCTGTCATCATGCTCAAGCCCACCTTTATGCCAGAGGGTTGAGGGAAGGGCCACACGTGTGATGTCATGTCGCTGATAGACTCGAAAGCTGAGTTCGAGAGCAGATGCAAAGATGTATGTGGAAGCAGTGCGCTCCTTGAGAATCTACGTGCGAAAGGGATCGAGAGCTTTTCGAGTTTGGCATTTGCCTGCGGCACTCCCCAAACGCCTCCAACCGAGACTGAGTTCGCTTCCTTTGCTGAGAACGTGTGTGGGCCATCAGTGCCACTGGGAACTGCTGCCCAGCTTAGGAGGCTTCACTTTGAGGCCATCACACTTGTTGTGGCGCAGTTGAAACAGCAAGCGATTGCAGATCCTGCCGAGGCGGTTAAGAAATTGCCATTGGCAGAAAAACAGGCCCGCATCGAAGATCAACGACGCAGGCTCCATGGGCTCTTGTTGGAGGATGAGTTGCAGCCATCACATGCACTCATCGATGCATGCGCGCACATGATTGAGCAGAACCACATAACATGGGTCCCGCCCTCAAAATGCACGAAGAGGGACCAAGAACTGCGAGTTGGGATCAAGGACAAATCCAAGTTCCTTGTTGCAGCTGAGGGTGGTGTCACTCTTGCATCGGCCCCCACCGTGTTGACGGCCGATCATCAGACTCCGCTGCAGCTCCAGTGGTGCTTGCAAAGGCGAGGACTCGCGCTCGACCTCAACAACATCATCGGCTGGACCTCTCACGAAAGGTGGGTCTCATTCCTTATGCAGACCCTTGCTCAGGAGGTTCCGGCAGGTTACCAGAGTGTCACCGTTGATCAACTCTTGAAGGCCGATTGTGAGCTTTTCCTTCTGATATCAAAGGAGACGAAGCGAGTCAAGGTCGGTTCTGATGGCAAGATGGAAGCTGAGGCAAAGCTAAATCAGCTGAAGACCGACCCGAGGGTGACCATGCATCTGCTGCCACTCCGTGGCGGTGGGAGGCCAGGGGGATCCCAGGCCCATGTTGAAATGCCAGATCTTGATGATGCAAATGCTCGTCTCAAGAAGAGGAGGACCCTTGAGAAGAAGCGCGGGCTCCTGGCCCCGGTTAAGACTGCTACGATGCCTCAGGAGCTGAAGGCTTGTCAGCATCACACTGATTCTTCAGGACGGCGTGCATGCTGGGGATTCAACCTCGGCCAGTGTTCACTTGCTACGCAGGGTTCGCCTCCGGCCTGCCAGAAAGGGGTCCACATCTGCATGACATGTCGCAAACCGGGGCATGGGCATTTTCAGTGTTGGCATGCTGGCAAAGGCAAAGGTACAGGCAAAGGCAAGAAAGGGGCGAAGGCAGCCGCAGAAGCGGCAAAAGAGTCGTGACTAGGCAATTTGCCTGATCGTGCACGCAGCAGGACGCCTTCAAAGGCGTTGGATGCCGAAACTTCCGGCTCCCTATCTTGCAGAATTCAAAACTCAAGTCAAGAGATCACGCCAAGCGACCCGTCCTCAAGGGACGCTCGCATTCCGAAAGATGATTGCCAGTCCGCTGACCACCCTCCGGTTGATCGCGACAGGCATACAACACCGCTTGATGCAAGCAATCCCGTTGATGCTGCCTCGTCGTGCAGCTCCGGGTTGCATAATGCTGCTGCTCATTCTGAGCCAGCATGTTCCAATGCCGAAAACAAAATCTTTCACTTTCCACCAGACTCTCTTTCAGACGAGAGCGGATCCAATGAGTCAGAGATGCTTGCTTGCCAGATTCTTGCGGCTGGGCGATGCACTTCTTTGCAACTGCTCCAGCTCATGACCTCGCTACCCTGTGAAGACATGGCCCGAAGCTCCGGCAGAGTCGGGACTGAGAAGTCTTTCACTAGTGGTGCGTATGGTCAGGGCCCCTTGGTTGGACTGCGAAAACATGTAAGCAGCCATGCGCATGTCACCAGACTTCTGGTGAAATTGGCAGTGCAGTTCTTTCCAGCATTGACTTTTACAACTGTGGCCTTGTTTCGTGATGTCCACACAACCCGACATTCAGATAAAGGCAATTTGCCGGGTTCTCTGAATGGCGTGGCGGCGCTCAGTAACTTCTCAGCTGGGCATATCAAGTTGCACACTTCCGATGGTGAAAGACGCCTCGATGTCGCGACTTGCCCAGTGATGTTTGATCCGGCAGTGGAGCACGAAACTTGCTCTTGGGAGGGCACCCGCCTTGTGCTGGTTGCTTTCTCAGCGAATCGGCTTGATCTCATGTCAGCTGAGGACACTGCCTCGCTGCTTAATTTGGGGTTTCCTCTTCCCTCTGTAGGTCCCCCTTCGGTTTCCCATAGGTCGCAGCCCAAAGTTACATCAGCTATGGCTGGTGACCGAGGCCTTGTGTTGCATTTCTTCGCTGGCCCTGCGCGTCTTGCTCAGTCCTTGCAAAAGAATGGCTTCGACGTCTTGGCCTTCGATCGCGGCACTGCCCGTGCCCGCTTTCCAGTCCAGTCTATCGACTTGTGTGACCTGCAGGACCGAAGTCTTTGCTGCAGCATTTTGACCGAACAGGCCGACCGCATTGAGCTCGTTTTCTTGTCGCCGTGCAGTGATTCAGATCCGATCGCAGTGGCAGTGGCCGCTGTTGTTCAGCATGCAGTCGAACTTGGACTCAGAGTGTGCATTGAAAGCCCAATGAAATCAGCTTTGTGGACCCACTCTGCCATGGCTGCTCTCTTCGCTTCAGGTCTGTTCAAGGACGTTTGCTTTGATGTGTGTATGCATGGAGGGCATCAGAATCGCCGGGTCCGCCTCAGCTGCAACTCCGACATCTTTGAGCCTCTTGCATTGCTTTGTAACCGTTTGCATAAACATGCTTCGGACGCTATGCTGCATCCTGCAGATAAAGGTGCATACCCTTGGCTCCTTTGCCATCGCATTTCCGATCTGCTGCTTCAGCAGACAACCTCGCGGGCGCCGCCGAACTCTTTGCTCGGCCCCGCTGCTACAGAATTGCGTGTTGCATTGGATCGCCAAGGCAAGTATCGACGACCACTTGTTTCAGAATTTCAGAGTTATGATGCTTGGGCTTTCTCTCCTGAGCTCGAGACCGAACGTTCTCAGGTCCTTGCTTTGTACCCCAAAGGTGCTCGCATTGTTCGACGCAAACTTTGCAAATGGGGTGCAGTCCGGGTTTGCCATCGTCCACTGCTTTCAGATTCTGCGCCCCTTGATAGGATCTCCGGGGATTGGGTCATTGGGCCTGGTTCTGTTGAGGAGCACCTGCCAAGTGGTGTGGTTAGTGTCTGTGGCATGCGAAGGCCCCAGCTTATGGAGGAAAATCAGACGGTCGAGGTGGCTTGGATTGGCATCCCGCGGGAGCCTCTTGACTTTCTTCGAGAGGCGGTCAAAGTGGGGCACCCCAAGTCTTTCCTGGACCAGGACGAGCCCAGCATTGAGCGTCTCGTAGAGAATTTGCTAGGTAATGATTCGGTCGAGTCTAGTGCTCATCTCCTTGACGAGTGGCAAGAATTGCAGGTTGAGCTTGAGCCACATGAACAAGGATTGAGGCTGGCATGGCCCACTCATGTGCAAAACATCCTCCGAGACAAGAAAACTGAACTTTTGAAACGCCTTCTGTGCAAGCACGGATATCCAGATCACAAGGTTGTTGATCACATGCGTGAGGGTTTTCGGTTGTCAGGCTGGATGTTCCGGACAGGTGTTTATCCGGCCGAGGCCCGACCTCCTTCGGTCAGCATGGAGAGGCAGCTTGCTACTGCTAGGTCTCGAAATCTTTCGACTTTGGCTAAACTGCGAGCGCAGCCTTGCGATGAGGTTACAACTCGAGCTTGGGAGGAGACCAAAGCTGAACTGGAACGGGGATGGATTTTCGAGGCCCCATGTTGCGAGGACAACTGCATTTCCGAGGGCTCCCAATCGGGACGTCCAACCAAAGACTTCACGGGGTGTTTTGGCATAGGAGGTGTGTTGATTGCACGACGGTTTGGGATTTTGCAGTCGCTCAAGGTCCGGGTGATTGACGATTGCAAAGCCTCGGGATACAACCAGACCACTGGTCTCCCGGAACGCTTCCGTCTCCATGGCCTTGAGTTCTTGAGTGCCTTTCTTGTCAAAGCCATGAGAGACGTCAGGTCCAGATGCACCCCGATCCTTGGCAGGACATACGACCTCTCTTCTGCATACAAACAGTACGCCGTGCACACAGAAGATCGGAATGTTCTGCGCATCGGAGCCAAAGATACCGAGTCAGGATCGGTCCGCCTTTTCGGTGTGAACTCACTGCCGTTCGGGGCCACAGGCTCCGTCGCGGGATTCTTGAGGACGGCGGCTGCGACTTGGTTCTTGGGAGCTCAGGTTTTGAAGCTCGCTTGGGGATGCTACTTTGACGATTACCCTTGTTTGTGCAAAGCCAAACTGGCCGATGACGTGAGCAGCATTGTTCATCGATTCTTCGGGCTCCTTGGCATTGTCTATGCAACAACGGGCAAGAAAGCAGTTGAGTTCGCTGCTCAGTTCAAAGTATTGGGAATCCTAGTTGACCTCTCATCCTTCACAGATGGCACAGTTCTGCTCAAACACACTGAAGAAAGGATTGCTGCCCTGTCTGCCACACTCCAAGATGTGCTTGACAGGGACGCGATCAGCCAGACTGAGGCAGACCGCTTGCGAGGAAGGATGCACTGGTTCTCATCTTTCTTGTTTGGCCGCCGATCGTGCTTGGCTCTGCAAGTCTTGAGCCGTCGTGCCCGAGGCTTCGGTTGCTCTAAGAAGCTCGATCCAGAGCTTCGGCAAGCCTTGATTTACCTGAAGGATGTTGCGTTGCACGCGGAGCCCATTTCCCTTGACAGGCACATGGGA